ATTTTATCAATGAAGTTTGTAATGTGGCCACCATGCTGGGTGGCTTGCCATCATGGGGAACTCTGAATTATTATTATTATTATTATTAATAGTAGTAGTACTACCTCAGTGGTAACGTCTCTGACTGAAGCACCGGGTGACACCGTTTCGAATCTTAGGAGGGACATACGTTCCTTAATGACTGACTGAAGGTACGCTTTTACTGACTGGTGAATGCCAGTAAGCACGAAACTTAGGTTGAAGGCTTCCTTTTTGATTACCTCCAAGCATCGAATAACAACAACAGCTCAAAATGCGCCATGATGGCGAACCACCTAGAATGGTGGCTGCATTGCATACTTGACGGATAAAATTCAGTCTGCACCAAACGAAGGACTAGACACATAATAATAGTTACCTTACTAATACCTAGTGTCCAATCAAAGTATCTGACGCAGTCCAACAGGAGGTCAATTTCTAGCCCGAATAACTCACTGCTAACGTCTCTGACTGAAGCACTAGAGGCTATAGGGGTTCGAATCTTTAGGATTTCAGATACGCCTCGTTGACTGATGAGTGTCAGCAGGCACGAAACCTAGCTCGAAGGCTTCCCCAGCTGACTGCCTCCAACCATTTAATAACAACAAAGCAAGCATAAGCACATGACATCGTATAGGTTTTCATTCATATTATTTTTCCATATAGACTATGAGCCAGAATTGTGTGTAGGTTTATTGTGCTAAGCGGTTTGTACTGGTTTAGCGGAGAGGTGGACTTTAGTTTGAGCTTAAGATCAATCTTTTAAATTTGAACATGTCAATAATTGAGATACTTTCACATGGGGTACTTGTAGTTTGAACTTTCATTGAGAGAGATACCCCCCCCCTACCGCTGTATGATGTTATTACTCTCTGTCTCTCACTCTCTCACATTATGACTATTATCGTTTTTAGTATAAACAGCAGTGTTAGTGAAAGGTATTCACTCATGTATATATTTGTGTTATGTGTGTGTGTGTGCGAGAAATGTGCTTTACTTAGGCTCCTGTTAGTTACACTTCTGTTTTCTTGTTATTTAGTTATTTACTTTGCCTTTTTATTGTAACAGCAGTAATAATAATAATAATCATAGGTGCCATCGTTGTTTTCTCATAACAGTCAACAACTATCTCTTCATGGAATTGGGCTACCTTTAAAGTTCTCTTGTTGTTTTTTTCTCTGTTTTAATAGTTTGGTATTTATTACCTACCTTGCTGGATTTTTTTCTAAATTCTTTGTATTTTTTAACTGTATACGCTTTCCTTTTTATTTCCGTGGAACAGTAATTATGTGATAATATCAGTAGTAAGAAGTGGTTTTGTATTTAAGTAGTACATATAGAGCTGTGTATTTCCATTCCTATTGGCTTAACTAACAGTAACGCGTTCACCTGGTAACCTGATTGTTTTTCGGGAGGGGGTGGGGGTGTCTGTGTGGTTAGCACTTTGTCTTTCAGCCAATAGGTGCCGGGTTCGAATCCCAACTCCCTCCCCCCTCCGCTACGCACACGCATGCATACACACACCGCATGCTCCAGTCTCAGTGATTGGATAGTATTGTTATCTCTCTCTCTTAAAAAATAAGTGTGATCTATAACTTGACACTAATAATCCTGTAAAATAAACAATTATCGAGTGTTGGTTTGCGGGGATTTGATTGATTACAGGTTTGATTACAAGTTGACATCAGTTAGAGAACTTTTGGGAACCCCAGTAGGGAGTACTACTGGACAGCTGCTTCGCCCTGGTTTGGCGCTCTTCAACACTACTCACCCACTGGGTTTGGAACGCACAACAAGGCTAGCTCGCATACCATCCAGTCATGAATTCTAACTTCTACCAATTCGAGAGTTTAGCGCAACCACCAGCTGGTGTCGGTGGCGACTATTTATCTTCACACCCTACCGGCTTGGCCCTACTGATCATTACTTCGCAGTAGAACTCCAGAAAAATTCTTCCGGCAGCCAGCTAGTCAATAGCGAGCATCATATTAATTTCTAGGAGTTATTTTACAGGAATTTGGTGTGTTTCATTTTGATCCCGGATTGATGATGTCAGTTAGAGAAGCACTGAAAACCAGCTGGAAGTACTGGACAACTGTTTTGTCTTGGGTTTTGGCACTGTTTAGCGATACGCACTCACCCGTAGTCGCGCAAAAACCATGAATACGTAGAAGTTGGAATTCATGGGCTTGTCATTGAATCTAGTCCCACTATCTGAGTAGTCTGCAAAGCTGTCTTGTAACCAGAAGGTGCCGGATTCGAAACCCGTTGTGTGCGTACTACATAATACTCCCAGACCAGGAATAAACAGCTGTCCAGAACGTAAATAATTATAGTATAGTTGTTTTTTGCGTCGCTGGCGCAGCCGCTAGGACGCTCGCCAACCATGCACATGATCCGGGGTTCGATCCCCAACCACCGACGCACTCCTACCTAAACCTCGCTATGCCAGTAATAAGACTGGTGAAGAGGGAAGGTTGGGTATGAGGCTGGCTATCAACCCCATCCTGTAAAAATAATCACTACTGCTACAGAAACTCCAAGCCTGTAGCTTGAAGCCGCCCTATGTTCCACTGGGAACGTGAAGGAATAAAAAAATTAATTGTTTTTCAATCGTATAGAAATATTGGGGGGGGGGTGTACTTTGTGCTCGTCAGCACGCGGTTAGTCTAAGTTTGACCTCCAGCCGACGCGTTTCTAAATTCCGCCTAGTCTGTCAGCCGATAGTAAACCTACAGAAGAGGGGCAGTTTAGCGTGTGGCTAGAATCCCCACCCCATTCACAGTAAAAGCAAATACCACGGCTATTGAAACTTCAATGTTAAAACCTTGAGACATTGTGTTCCATTTAGAACGCAAAGGAAAACAAACTAAAAATACGTTGGTTGAAAACTAAACACTTTTACATATATGCATATATATATATATATATTAACCTATAATCAGAATTATTTACAATTTATGTGGCCTAAAAATTTCTTTGTTTTTTCAAAAGTTGATTATTTATGATATTGTCTAATAGGGATAATAAATCATTCCCGTTTTGCACATATACTCTACTCTGTTTCGTTTGAAAATGAATTTTTCAAGTATTGGTTTTCGTAGGGATTTTGTTTGATTGGTTTGAAGATTTATTTGATCATGAGCTGACATCAGTTAGAGAACCATTCATTGGAAAACCCGCACTGGAGTACTGGACAGCTGTTTCGAAGAAGATATTGCGAAGTGCTCGTGCCATGTCATGAATCGGCATAAGTTAGAATTCATGGGCTGGCCATGACCAGTGGTTTAATAGTCTACAAGCTCACTAGCCTTGTAACCAGAAGGACTGGGGTTTGAACCCCATGTTACGGGTGCGTAATGCTTAAGAGTAGAAACTAGGGCGATGAAATAGCTGTCTAGTGCAGGTTTTCCAATGGTTATGTAACTGATGTCAGCTCATGATGAAATCCTCCAACCAATGAAAATGAATTGTCTAAGAATCTGAATGACTTATCACATGTTAGTAACTAATGTCATTTATCTAGTTCTTAGTTCTGACTGAATTCTTACCAGTCTCATGTTTGTTATTGGGCCACCATCGGTAGGTGATCTGTCTTTGGGATACACTTCTTGCTGATGTTTACTGGTTGGAAAGCGATTGGAAACAAGTCCTGAATCGAATAAGTTACATTCTGACTGACCCTTTTAAGCAAAGCGAATGTTCGATGTGGAATCTCCGGCTTTTTGGGAGACGGTGGACTGGTTCCGCATATGCACCTTGCTGACAGGTGTTAGATAGATACAAGACATAAGTCTAACGCTTCCTACCAGTTGCTTACAGCCATCTAACGTCAGATTTGTAAATGTTTTATGGGGAAATTAGTTAATGAATTTACCTTTCTCCTTCTTCTTCTTCTGTGACTGTGTGTTTTCAACCAATGGTTTATAGATGTTAACGTCAATTCTAAGTGACCATCTGCTCTAGTATTATTATTGTTTTCTTTAATTCCCAAATGAACATACGGCTTCAGCCGCACGTCACCATTGCATTCGGTTCTCTGTCAACGTTTTCACCTGGCTCCAGGTCTGCCCACATTCTTTCATCTCTTCTTCACATGACGTCCTCCATGTCACTCCACCCTCTCACTGATGACCAACTCGCCGCTTCCCATTCGGGTTCCACTCGAGCGATGGCCTGGCGTGTGATGTCACTCACTTGATGGTTTGTTTTCTCAGAGTATGGCGAATCCACCACCTGCATTTCTTCCTGCATATTTGTTGCACAATCAGCCAGTGATTAACAAACATTAATTACTGTAGACCAAATTTACCAACTAATAAAAAGTAAATCACGTGACAAGAAAGCTTAAAATCCAAGTCAATAAAAAATTATCAATACGGTTGTAAATCAACTGCCAGTCATGAAGATGGTTACCGGGAGACGCAATTCTATCACTCATGGAAAATTTAAATCAGTTCAATTTGTGCTAAAACCTGTGGTGGCTGAAGATGTTGTCTAGGAGAGAGGACGGCGGAAGCTCTGGAATCAAACCAACCAGTTTAGAGAACACAAATAATTGCAAATCATCCACCTTAGCTGCAAATCTTCTCTGTTATTGACCTTTTTTATTCCTGTACATTCCCAGTGGATCATAGAGAAGCTTCAAGCTACAGACTTGAAGTTTCTTTAGCAGTGGTGATTATTTTTACAGGATGGGGTTGATAGCGTCATGCCCAACCTTCCCTCTTCACCAGTCTTATTAATGGTGTAGCGAGGTAAAGGAAAGCGTCAGTGTCCGGGGATTGAACCCCAGACCACCTGCGTGGTTGGCGAGCACTCTACCGCTGTGTCACCGACGCCTATTATTAACTCACATCAATATTATATCACCCGTCTGTATTCATTTATCACTTTCGTTTTTTTATTGTACCATGTGTTTTGTTCAATTTCAACTCTCATCATTTTGTGTCTTCTTAATTTTTTTTAATCATTCTATCTAGATGGTCAAGCGCCTACATTCGATGAAACAGAAGGACAAGCTGGTTGGATAGAAGGTCTGGCTATATTGATTGCAGTATTTGTTGTTGTCTTTGTCGTCGCTTTGAATGATTGGCAAAAAGAAAGACAATTTCGTGGGCTACAGAATAAAATTGAATCAGAGCATACCTTTTTTGTAATCCGGAAAGGGGAAACAAAACAGATTGCTGTGAAAGAGATTGTTGTCGGGGATATATGCCAAGTGAAATATGGTAAGTGTGTTTGAGTGTGTGCGTGTGTGTAACTGGCTTTGGGTTTAATTGTGGATGGTTCCGTGTATATAGTGTGATAAATTGTTTTTGCTGACTTGTTGGATCATTTAATCGCAAAACAACTAATCAGGAAACTACCAGCCTCAATCAACAATTATATCACAATGCTACATGTCAAGTGATCCACAGAGTGAAACTCACTGAAGCCTTGACAGTGAGGACAGGAGTAAGACAAGACTGCCTATTATCACCGATGATATTCCTAATGCACGAGACTGTGGACTGATTTATGTTTAATGCCACACCAACTCGAAGACTTACAGATGAAAACCAATAAGTTGTCATGTCAGAAGAGGTAGGCGTCGAAGATTGGACTCCAAGTGAACATAAAGAAAACAGAGGTGATGAAGTCAATACAACCAACAATAACCAGTACCAATCACTGTCGACGGAAGATATTTGAAAGCGTTCACTTCCTTCTAGTTATGCAGCATCGTTTCAACTACAGACGTCTGTACGAATGAGGATTTCGAAACCAACTAGAATAGGAAAGAGTAGACAGACGTTTAGGAATCTTCTGCACTCCACAGCATACGGAATAAGGTTTGGATTGCCAACATCAATGTCAAGTCAGTCAGTCAGCCAATCCTTCTTCTTTATGAAAGGTCAGTAACTTGATACAAGCGTCACTGAAAGTACTTCTAAACGCCAGCTGCAGACTTTTATTAACGGCTGTCGCCTTCTCTGGCTACATACTAAAGACCAGATGGCCAGAACGGATTCGAAACAAGGAACTTTAGCAGCCAACCAATGAAGAACCTATTGCTGAGTAAATCTTCAGTAAAAAAATGAAGACGGATAGGACAGACGCTGTGGAGACCGTTGGGTGACATCGCTCGCCAGGTCGGTCGGTCGGTCTGTTTTCGACATAGAACTTTGCACATATGTGCCGCAGTTCAAGTCGCCACAATCCATGTAGCACACAAAGGAAGAGAAGAAAGTAGAAGAAATGCATATTAGAGACAGTAAACAGAGGTGTGAGACAAAGGAATAGTAATAACGAAGAACAAAACAGTTTAATTGGAAATCATAAGTCACAAGGAGTGGATGCATCTGCGCCATCATCGAGAGCGATTTTGAGCCATGTCATCAATTGTTTCCAATCATTGGTTTTTACCGTCCCGAAAACCCCAACCAGGAAGTCTACACCTTCCAACGTGGCTTAGAGTAACTGTTGTGGATTTCATTGACTGGTGCCATGTTTTGTTTGACCGCCGCTAGCTCTTTTCCAGCCTGACCCTATATCAGCTAACATTGCCCTTTGTCGAGGAAGGCGATGACTAGGGATGCATACGTAGCACATGTCCTAACCATCTCAGTCGATGTAATTTCACAGTCTCGTCGACTGATTTCCCCGCCTTACCTAGCACTCGACTGATGCCTCACCTCAATATTGCTCGCCTTATCATACCACTTCACACGGGAGATAGAACGCAGACACCTATGATCGAAGATAGCTAATCTTTTCATGTCTTCCGCTCTCAATGGCCAGGCCTTTGCTCGAGTGGAACCCGATTTGGAAACGACGAGTTTGGCGGTATGGAAAGAGATCTTTTGAGGAGTAGATGTAATCTTATAGGTAATCGTGCGTCCAGCTAAGTAGGACTGTTGTAGAGAACAGAGGAGTGGAATGGAAATGTGTTGCTGAAGCCCTATGTTCCAGTCGGAACCTAAGGGAATAATAATAATAGTAATAATAATAGTACTTCTCGGTACCCGTATTGTGCCAACTTTGTGTTTTAACATACATATATGGCCTATATACTTGTTTACTTAAGGATATGCTTGAAACTACTGTTTACCTAATCATAGTGTAACTGTTTTATGATGTGTTGTATCTCAGTATTTCAAAGTGATAAGACGCGTGTGAATGATCATATGATGTTATTCTATCAATCAGTACATTATAGATGTATATACACACAATTGTTTTTGTTTATTTAATTAAAGTTTGTTGTACTTTATAATAATAATTTGATAGTTATAGTGGGTGTTTCGACCCCCCCCCCGCCGTATGAGGTACGAATAATATTCAGTGAAATATATTATAAGTACATTCGACTCAAAACAGTCACAAATAGGACTGAAAAATGCACTTCTTATTTCACTGTTAACGACTGAGCATAGGTGCCTGCGATCCATCTCCCGTGTGAAGTGGTATAATAAGGTGAGCAATATTGAGGTTAGGCATTGGTCGAGTGCTAGGTAGGGAGGGGAAATCAATCGACGAGGTTGTAAAGTTGCACCGATTAAGATGGTTAGGGCATGTGGTGCGCATGCCTAACCATCGACTTCCTCGACGGTCAAGGTTAGCCGACATAGGTTAGCTCATTAGCTTAGAGAGCTGAATCGGTTGGAACCACTCGGATATTTGTGCTAGCCGCCACCTTATCGAATTGATAATACATGGAAGGAAATGTGTAATTTGTAATTTACAAATACAATTCGAGTTGAAGCTTCTCACCATACTACTAGTGTTGATATAAATTGTTTATATCCATCTACTGATATCAAGCAATCAGTAGTATATAATAGCATTATGGAATTATACTACCAATCTCGTGTATACCTCATGTCTTACAATGATGAATGGTTACTTGTCTCTGTGAATATATGTGTAAAACTTGGGCACTGTGGTAGTAAGTCATTCCATATTAGTTTGTTTATTAGATGTATCACACAGTGAGTGAAACAGTATTATTTACTGGATGACACAGTTTCGAACAAAATTTATTGTGGTTCATAATCATTTCATCAATTATAATCACACGTCTTCGAAACTTGAGTTTTATAGTTTTCTTTGTCCTATCCTTCTATTTGTCGTCGTTTGGGTAGTAGAATTTTCAAGATGTCTGGGTGTACATGTGTTGAATCATTCCTATTACACGTATTCTCTCTTAGTTGATTCGATAAACAAAGCTTCTGTTATCAATCTCTCCCTCCACTCTGTGACATTAGATTTTAAAACTGTCATCCTATCCCATCTTATTGTATGGTTGTGTGTAATTGCATGTAGTGAGTGCTATAGCTGAACTATTCTCTAGATTTCTTATCTTATTTGGGTCAACCAATCCAGATTTCGCTGCTGGCTTTTTATGTTCGGCTAGTCTGACTGTCCCTGTTCTACCACTTTGATCTGTGCATAATGATAGTAGTGATAGTGATCATAATAATAATAATGACATGCATGTCAAACATGCGCAAGACAACACCAACAATGAGGAATCTAAATCATCAGTAGTAATTCCATACAAGGAAGGAACCTCGGAAACCTTACGCAGAATTCTTAACAAGTCAGGAATAAAAGTGGCTGGCATTCAAACCCACAAACTCAATTAGAATTAAAGGATCGTATGGAGCCTTTAAAACAAAACAATTTAGTTTATCTAATACCCTGCCTGTAATGACTGTCAGGTCAAATACATAGGCCAAACTAGTAGAACAGGGGCAGTCAGACTAGCCGAACATAAAAACCTAGCAGCGAAATCTAGATTGGTTGACCCGAATAAGATAATAAATCTAGAGAATAGTTCAGCTATAACACTCACTACATGCAATTACACACAACCATACAGTAGGATGATGACATAAGATGACAGTTTTAAAATCTAATGCAACAGCAGGGTGGAGGGGGAGATTCACAACAGAGGCTTTGTTCATCGAATGATTCAACACCTGTCCATCCAGATATCTGGAAAATTCTACTACCCAAAAGACGACAAATAGGATAAGGACTAAGGAAACTATAAAACTCAAATTGTCTCTGTGAAGTTAGTTCTTCTAAATGTGGGTCAGAAACGTGCATTGCGCGTCACAAAAAGCATTTCCAACAGCTCCCAGCTGGAGACTTTTATCAACAGCTGCCACTCTCTATGCTGAAAATCGAATGGCTGACCAGAAACAATTAGCAACAAGAAACTATGGCTGGGAACAAACCAACAGGCAAGAGCCGATTGCTCAACAAATATGTAGGAGAAAATGGAGATGGATCGGGCATACATACATTGAGGAGATCGTTGGATGACATCGCGTGTTAGCCAGTCTGTCACTCGAGTTGGGCGTCGCTTCGAGAGTGGCATGGAGGAGGTCGTGTGGCGAGGAGGAGATGAGAGATTATGCGCAATCCTGGGGCCAGCTGAAGAGGACAATAGAAAATAGAACAAAGTGGAGTTAATAATAATAATAGTTGTTTTTACGAGTTGATCACCGATTGATATCAGTTAGAGAACTATTGAAAACCAGCATGGAGTACTGAACAGCTGCTGTTTCATCCTAGTTTGGGAATCATCGGCAGTACGCACCCACTGGGATTCGAATCCAGGACCTTCCAGTTACAAGGCAAGCTCGTATACCATTCAGCCACGGGGACCCGAATCAATGGCCACCAGCCCATGAATTGTAACTTCTACCAATTCGTGATTTAGCGCGACCCCAACCATTACCGTTGGTGGAACATCCATCCACACACGTGACTTCTAATTGCACCTCACTGGTCACGACTTCTCACTAGAACTCCAGGAAACTCCATCCTGTAGCAAGTCACTAGCGAGCATCAGAATAATTTTCTATAGTTTGGTTTGTAAGGGTTAGTAATGTTTTACGAGTTGATCACGGACTGATAACAGTAAGAGAACCATTGAAAACCAGGGAGTACTGGACAGCTGCTGTTTCATCCTAGTTTGGGAATCATCGGCAGTACGCATCCACTGGGATTCGAACCCAGGACCTTCCGGTTACAAGGCAAGCTCGTATACCATTCATTCTGATGCTCGGTAGTGACTTGCTACAGGTTGGAGCTTCCTGTAGTTCTAGTGAGAAGTCGTGACCAGTGAGGTGCAATTAGAAGTCACGTGTGTGGATGGATGTCCCACCAACGGTAATGGTTGGGGTCGCGCTAAATCACGAATTGGTAGAAGTTACAATTCATGGGCTGGTGGCCA